TTGAAGCCTATTACATACATTTTACTAAAGATAGATATTTTTGTGGGCAAAATGCAAGGGAATGTCAATTCAAAATTTATTGGGTAGTTGGGGCGGGGAACTCTTTGAAGTTATGAATATGAAAATGCCACATCTGGATTGTCCTCCATATGTGTGATAGGAGGAAGGGTCAGCCACACACCGGAGGATAGATGAATATAGTGTGTATTTATTGATCCATAGGACATACAAAACACCAGGACATGAATACAGGACTTGATAACTCGTTTCACACGATCTCGTGCTTAATCAATATGGTTATGATTAAGCACGAGATCGTGTGAAACGCGTTAAGTCCTGTATTCATGTCCTGGTGTTTTGTATGTCCTATGGATCAATAAATACAAACTATATTCATCTATCCTCCGGTGTGCAGCTGACCCTTCTTCCTATTGTATCGTGTGTGGTGGCGAGCCAGAGCCTTCACCTGTTGGGGATTGATCTGGATTGTTTGCCTGAGCGGTATACCTTTTGTTCCATATGTGTGATGCAGAGTTTGTCATATCTTAAATTTCCTGAATGGGTTAATCCTACATCCACATACATCTGAAAAACCCTAACATGCTCAATTGCCTGCAATGTTGGTCCTCCAGTACAGTGACTGATTATCACAACCTGCTGTATCCTGCAGTACTATCTCTCTGTATTGAACAGCCTTTAGTATCAAACTTTGGTCTGTGAAGCAAAAGTTGTTTGTTAAGTGATTGGGCTTTATATTATTCTAGCTTTGCCATGTGTTTAATCAAACACAACACATTGCCCGTCACTATAAAGCTGTAGTTTAAATGATGGAATATAATTGTGCTTGTCAATATGTTGGATGTATGATTCAGCTTCAAAGATAAAGGTTCAGAGATTTGTAATGCAGTGTGTTAGCAGAGGGAATGATTGATTTTATAAACACTGTGTACTGTGAAATGGCTAAAAGTATAGTAGGATTGAAATTGATGTGGTTAATAATGAATCCAAAGAGAATTATAGGTTAATTACAGCACTAAGACAGGGTCACGAAAGATAAGAAAAGAGAATTATTCACTTAACTTGTTAAGCTAACTAAAGATAGAAAAAAATAATTACATCTCACCAATTCAGTTCCATATAATAAGTTCCATATAATAAACTGCATGCATTAGTGATAATGATAAAATGACATATGTTGCTCCATTTTGCTCAGATTTTGTTCACTAATAAAGGATAACTCTAGTCAAGATAGCGTTCACTAGAAAATAAACATTTCATATTACAAGCACTGTTGACGTTTAATAATGTGAAATTAAATTCACAAGCAAACATATAATATATTGCAGCTTTGTTTGATCCTATCTGCTCTGATCCTCCCTTTCTTCTACTGTCCCCAATCCATTTACTAATAGAACAGAGCCTTGGGGACAAGCTGGACATGCTCAGTTTGGCATGTATTGCTAGAGATTTTTTTTTTCTTGGGAGGGTACATATGCACAGCATAGGGCCAAACAGTGCTGTCCAGACAGAGGGTAAAGGGTTCTGCAGCCTCACAATCACAGTCCCCTGGCCAATCAAAGGAGAGTGAAAACTCCTCCTACAAGCTTTAACCAGCGCTTTGCTGGACACTGATAGAAGTCACAAGACTGCTATATACTGCTGATGAGAAAAGGTATTTAGCAGTTTATATTTATTATAATAATAGCATTTCCATGTACTGTGTACTGTGGGAGACCAGATATAGTGAATGCAGGGTCCTGGGTTTAGTAACACTTTAATTTAAGTTTTTCTTATATTCTGTAGATATCTTGTCAGTAGCATCCACTCTTGAGAAATCTAGAAATGTGTTGTGATAAGGAAAGTGCTTTCCTTATTAACTTGACTGTATGGAAACATCTTTGAGAACAGGTTGATGGTATGGATATACAAATATAGTGTATACTTCACATAGATACAGTACATACTGACATTTAGTAAATCAGCATTTTCATTTTAAGTAATCTCCCACAAAATACCACTAAGGATGTCATCCCAGGGAGCCGTGGGGAGAGACCTGGGATCCAAAGAGCCAGGGGGTGCTTCTTTGGATGCATAGATAGTACATACTGGAATTTAGTAAATCAGCCAATTCATGTTATTAATCTTTTATGTATGTATTGAGGTTTTTATGTAGAGATCAATAAATCATTATTTTGTGTCTAATTCATTTGTGCATTGGTGATGTGGCTTTTTAAAAATCCTATGGGAAAGCAAATATTGCTGTTAAAGAGGAACTTCACCCTAAGGGGGGATTTTTTTTCAAAACGCAAAGAACCGCTTTAAATGGGGATGGAGACACATCACTATAGGCATCAAATTTGCTGTTATGGAGCAAGAAGAATGTTCAAAGATTACTGCATATCAACCAAAATACAAATATGTGAATCCATCCTTTAGCCTAGCTTCACACTAAAATGCGGTGCAAGAAAACTTGCAATCCGCATGCATTTCTTGCAGCGCATTCAAACTGGACTACCCTTGCAATCTGCAGCGGGTGTCAGTGCAATCTTAACAACACCCCAAATGCAGGTTTTGACAGGTATCCACTCCCACTTCCAGTTGGATTGTCACAACGGATTCACTGGAAGCTCTTCTCCCCCTCTCCCTGCTTGCAATTGTCTGAGACACATCACATGAAAGCTCAGTGCAATCTTAACAACACCCCAAATGCAGGTCGCAAACGCAGTGCGTTTTCCTGCACTGGATTGTATGGTAAAAAACAAACATGCCATCCGGTTGTAGTGTGGTTCCAAAATTGGGGCATGCACAACCTTGGTGCAATGCAGTGTGATTTCAGCCCATTAAAAATAAATGGGCTCAAATTGCACAGCACTGAATCGCATCTGAATTGCACAGACTAGTAGCTGACTCTAATAGATGTTAGAGTTTTGTTGACTTTTGTATTTTTACAAGTTTAGCGCATTTCTTTTAACCACTTAACATCTTCCCTATAGCAGTTTTGGGAGTCATTCTGCCACATAGGGGCATGTACGTCGCCAGAGGATCGATTCTGCTGTGAAATGTCACAGCACAAACCGATCTACAAGTCCCAGGGAGCAGTTGCTCGCTGCACCTGCAAATCGGTAATCAGGGAGGAAGAACAGAGCTGTGTCTATGTTTACATAGACAGTTCTGTTGTAACAAGGGGGAGTCATGAACCCTGTGCCTCTGCAGAGCTGAGTACATGATCCATCACTTCCCATAGTAAAAGCACCACCTAGTGTACACCAAGCACATAGCTAGGCACACACCTAACCCTTTGATCACCCGAGATGTTAACCCCTTCCCAACCAGAGTCATTAATACAGTTATTAGTGTATATAGTGTATATTTTAAGCACTGATCACTGTAAAAGTATCACTTCCCATATGGAAGAAAAATATATTTGAAATATATTTTTAAAAATATTCTGCCCAAATATATTGACATATATTTTAAATGTTACAATTTTGGCCATATTCAATGTATTTAAAAACACACACACACACATATATATATATATATATATGCACTGCAGGTTGAGATGCATTTTCATTACAAAATATATGAAAAATATTTTTAACCATACATTTCAAATATACTGTATGTCTTTAAAAATACAAATCTACATCTTTGGAATGCATTTACAAATATATGTAAATCTATATGTTAAAATTACTTTTTTATATGTTAAAAAACATCTGAAGAATATATTTTAAAAAATATATTTAAAGATATTTTTCATATATTTTGTAATATATAAAAAATGCATTTCAACATGCAGTATATATATATATATATATATATATATATATATATTGAAATATATTGAATATGGCCAAAATTGTAGCATTTCAAATATATGCCAATATATTTGGGAAGAAATTTTTTTAAAATATATTTCAAATATATTTTTCTTCCATGTGGGTTGTTCCCACAAAGTGCCAGTTAGTGTAAAAATGTCTGCCGCAATATCGCATTCCCTGTATAAGCCACTGATTGCCGCCATTACTAGTATACACAAAAAATAAATTTAAAAATCCCAGTATATGTACCATAGTTTGTAGATGCTATAACATTTGCGCAAACTAATTAATATACAATTATTGGGACTTTTTTACCAAAAATATGTAGCAGAATACATTTTGGCCTGAATTTATAAAACATTTGATTTTTAAATGTTTTATTGAATATGTTTTATAGCCGAAAATAAAAAATAATGTTTTTTTTTTCAAAATTGTTAGTAAAACCACAGAGGTGATCAAATACCACTAAAAGAAAGCTCTATTTTAGGGAAAAAAGGACATTTCATTTGGGTACAGCATTGCATGATTGCGCAATTGTAAGTTAAAGTAACGCAGTGCCGTATCGCAAAAAAAATGGCCCAGTCAGGAAGGGGGGTGAATCTTCTGGAGGACAAATGATTAACTAAGGCCACTCCTTGTACTGCAACTGGGCAATACTGACTTACAGTTTGCCTCTATCCCCACCTGGTGGTGAAGAAATAGAGCCACAGCTGCCACTCTACAAATAAGAACAATGTATTGTATTTGTATGATCATATGTTGCAAGTAGAGATGAGCGAATTATTCAAAAATTCGGTTCGGCTGATTCGCCGCCGAATTCGCCGAATAAATTCGCTTCAAGCCGAATATATTCGCTGCGAATTTAACTTATAAAAAGGGTGTTTCTAGGCTTCAGAGAGCCTTTATATTAGTGCAGAACACTGTACCTTTAATTTAAATGCCCTTGGAGTCTGCTGGGGAAGAGAAATAATACTGTCAGTCAGTATGACATGCAGATGAGTGCCGTCGATCTTATTTCCCCCCCCAAAAAAAGTAGAATCACCGCACACTTCACTCATTTGGGCAGTCACGGGGCCAAAACCAGAGTGTGGAGCCACAGTGTGGCGGTGGAGGCAGCAGCAATGGGAGGCCATACAGCACCCTATGACAAAATGGAACCCACCAGCAGTGTGAGGAGACCTGAAAGTGGCACATGGCAGAGTGTGGCGATGGAGACAGCAGCAATGGGAGGCCGTACAGGGACCCATGACACACTCTGGACCTGGCAGCAGCATGAGGAGGCGGTACAGGGGCCCATGACAGATTACGGGCCTGGCAGCAGCATGAGGAGTCGGTACGGGGGCCCATGGCAGATTACGGGGAGACGACTACAAGAGTCCAATGGCAGAGTGGCGGAGCGGAAGCAGCTTCAATTGAAGGCCATACACAGGCCTAGGTTAAAAAGTCCCCCCAGCAGCAGTGTGGGGAGACGACTATCAAGAGTTCAATGGCTGAGTGGCGATCCGGGAAGTCAGCGTTGTGATTGCAGATGCAATGCAGAGATTCTATGAGGTGATGCCGTGGGTGCGAAGAAGATCATATACCGTCGTACTTCCATCCATAAGACGGAACAACCTGCGAACCGGGAGCTTTATTGCCCTGACCCGCTGAGCAGCTTCTGGGATACCCAAGAGGCCCATGGCAGAGTGGCGGAGCGTAAGCAGCTTCAATTAAAGGTCATACAGAGGCCTATGTTAAAAAGTCCCCCCAGCAGCAGCGTGGGGAGACGACTATCAAGAGTCCAATGGCAGAGTGGCGGAGCGGAAGCAGCTTCAATTGAAGGCCATACACAGGCCTAGGTTAAAAAGTCCCCCCAGCAGCAGTGTGGGGAGACGACTATCAAGAGTCCAATGGCTGAGTGGCGATCCGGGAAGTCAGCGTTGTGATTGCAGATGCAATGCAGAAATTTTATGAGGTAATGCCGTGGGTGCGAAGAAGATCATATACCGTCGTACTTCCATCCATAAGACGGAACAACCTGCGAACCGGGAGCTTTATTGCCCTGACCCGCTGAGCAGCTTCTGGGATACCCAAGAGTTTGGCTTCTGTGGGGAATATGGTTGAAAACTGAAACTTAAAGGCATGTTGACGGAAGGGCACCAGTGTCAGTGCTCCGGAGGGAATATAGCTTCAAAGCTGACACTTAAAGGTATATCGACGGTCAGAGACCACAGGAAGTGGAGCTTGCGTCTTAAATCGACTGAATGTGGCAGACGTGAAACGTCTACGGGCCGTATATGAAACGGGTTGTTCCTCTTTCTGGAATAAGTGTTGGAAATGGCCACTCTTTTTGGTGTGGCGTTTTGTCTATTTAATTCCGATAACGGACTCTACTCCTCCGTGCAATCTAGTTACGAGACCCTGGGCAGGTCTGGGTCCAGTTTGTGGTAGAGACTGGTTTTGTTCAGCCATACTTGAGCGCGTAATAACAGGTCTGTGCTGCCCTTTGGTGTCTGGCTTAATGCGCACAACACTGAACGTCCCAGCATTTGTCAACGATTTGCCGTTAAGTGATGCAAACCCGCTGAACCACGTTCATGAGGAGCCGGTACCGGGGGCCATGAATCAGTATGGACCTGGCAGCAGTGTGAGGAGACCCGAAAGTGGCACATGGCGCAGGGTAGCGGTGGAGGCAGCAGTATTTGGAAGACATACACAGGACTAGTTTAAAAAGCGGAGCCGTCAGCAGCGTGAGCAGACGACAGAGGCACATGGCGCAGGGTGGCGGTGGAGGCAGCAGTATTCGGAAGCCATACACAGGCCTAGGTTAAAAAGCGGAAGCCGTCAGCAGCGTGAGCAGACGACAGAGGCACATGGCGCAGGGTGGCGGTGGAGGCAGCAGTATTCGGAAGCCATACACAGGCCTAGGTTTAAAACTGGAACCCAGCAGCGTGAGCAGACGACAAAGACGCACATGGCAGAGGATGGATCTGGCAGCAGTATGAGAAGGCGGTACAGGGCCCGTGGCACAGTGTGGTGATGGGGGCTACAGCAACTGGATGCCAGAAAGTGGCCGATATGAGCTGTCCGGACAGCGGACAATAAGTACATATATACAAATCAATTCATCAGCTGTCCAGCCAGCGGCCTCAAAGGCGACACATATAGAAAGCAATTCATGAGCTGTTCAGACAGCGGCCTCTAAGGCGACAGATATACAAAGCAATTCCCGAGGTGTTCAGGGAGCTGCCTGAACGGCTAGGTTATTACTAAATATATTTTTGTGGCCAAACATCGGCCTATAAATAGATGTCTACACAGTGACAAAAAATTATGTCGCCAGACAGCGGCCCCTAAGGCGACAGATATACAAAGCAATTCCCGCGAGCGCACAGGGCCCACAGTGTCTGAGGAAGGACGTTGGCGCAGAAAGGCAGAGACCAACTGACTACATAGGTGGTTTTTATAGTACGTTATTTTGGCCTCCCTCTCAGCAGGTGTGAAAAAGGCCACCATTTTTTTGAACGGTAGCGAGGGTCCAACAAGGTGGACAGCCAAAAGTCATCCCTCTGTCTGATGGTTATTATTCGGCTGTCGCTACGCAAGCAAGCGAGCATGCTATGGGCCATTTGTGCCAAGGAAATGCGAGGGACTCCCTGCCTCCATCTCCACAGCATACTGCCACGGTGCGTCTGGGTCCCTCTGTCTCCTCCTCCTCCTCTACCAGATGCTCCTGCTCCTCCACTCCTGTCCGCTGAGTGGAAAAACCACCCATTTCACTCAATAATTCCTGAGCACCAATGTCCTCCTCTACCTCCTCCTCTTCTTCCTGTCCCTGCCCCCACAGGGGTCATGTGGCGTTGAGATCTGTGCGCCACGTCTACTGCACCCTGACCAGCCATTGTTAACAGCATTTGTTCCAGGACGTGCAACAGAGGAATGACGTCGTTCATCCCCCCATAGTCCTGCCAACTCACGAATAGCGTGGCCTCCTCAAAGGGCCTGAGCAAGCGGCAGTTGTCACGCATGAGCTGCCAATGGCTGACATCTAAGTTACACAGGGGAGTACCTTTATCCGCTTGTAACATCAGGAAATCGGTGATGGCCTTTCGCTGTTCGTAAAGGCGGTCTAACATATGTAGGGTTGAATTCCACCTTGTTGCAACGTCGCAGATCAGGCGATGCTGTGGAATTCCGTTCTGCCACTGCAGCTCAAGGAGGGTGTGCTTTGCGGTGTAGGAATGGCTGAAATGCATGCAAAGTTTACGTGACATTTTAAGGATGTCTTGCAGTGGGATGGTGGATTTTAGGAACCGCTTGACAACCAGATTGAACACGTGAGCCATGCATGGCGCATGGCACAACCTTCCTTGACGCAGAGCAGACACCATGTTTCTTTCCGTTGTCGGTCAACATGGTTCCGATTTTCAGTTTGCGCGGAGACAGCCATCTTGTCGATTTCTCTGTTCATTACACTCAGAAGTTCCTCCCCTGTGTGACTACGTTCGCCAAGGCATACCAGGTGCAGCACAGCGTGGACACCGTTGCGCCCTGCACATGTGATATGCCGGTCGGGTAATGGGACTTGGCACGGGGGTGGCGGCTGAGGACACGGCGGAAGAAGAGGTGGTAGAGGCGGACATCTTTGCTGGACCAAGGACGTGCAAACGTGGAGGCAATAGCGGCGTGACCTGTCCAAGTTGCTGGTGCGGCTGTGCCGGCACCACGTTCACCCAGTGGGCCGTAAATGACATGTACTGTCCCTGACCGTAGTTACAGCTCCACACGTCGGTGCTGCCGTGCACTTTGGCAGAGACCGACATGCTCAAAGACTGGCCCACCATCTCTTCTACATGTGAATGCAGGGCTGGCACTGCCTTTTTGGCGAAGAAATGCCGGCTTGGCACTCTCCACCGCGGCTCGGCACAAGCCATCATTTCTCGGAAAGGTGCTGAGTCCACCACTTGGAAAGGGAGGGACTGCAGCACCAGCAACTTGGACAGGAGGACGTTCAGCTTTTGCACCGTCGGGTGCGTGCTCGCAAACTGTTGTCTCTTGGAAACGGATTCCAAGAAAGACTGCTGACGGAATCCGTGAAGAGGAGTAGCAGGAGAAGGAGCATGTGAACGAGCGGAAGATGCCAACGAGCGACAACTCCCCTCAGCAGAGGTGTTGGAGCCTTGACTGGCTGATAGAGGGCGATTGACGTCGGGTGACGGAGCAAGTAACGGAGCGGGTGATGGAGCGGGGGCTGGGGCAGGCAGAACCGCGTATCTTTATCACGGTTTTCCCAGGTCACCGAATGGCGACGCTGCATATGCTGACGCAAACGCTGTAGTCCCAACATTGGCCCCCTGGCCACGCTTGACTTTCTGGCCACATAGTCAACATACGGCTACGTTTACTTCCTCGGGCGGCTTGACGAAAAATTGCCACACACGCCGAGTAGGAAACTTTCCCCCCGCTACTCCTCACTGGCTGACTGCTACTTCCTCCGTGCACACCGGCACCACTACTGCCGTGGTGGTAGGCTGCAGTGGAGCTGGTGCTCTACTCCGTGGCCGTTCGATCAGTGCGATCAGCCTCATCATCATCAATTAGGGTCTCCGCATCACTACTAGCCCCCTCGGCTGCGTGTGGGTCAGGAGACAGACCTGTCTCTAGACCGGCTACCGAGCCACTCTCCTCACCAGTACTTCTTCGCCTGGCTGCTGAAGAGGCGGATGTCTCCCCCCGTTCCTGACCGCCCTCTGTTAGCTCTTCCTCACTGTACAGTGGGGCTGAGCCCACAGCATGCGATACTTCGCTTGTGAGGGGAAACACCAAAGGACAGGGGCAGGTCGAGGACACGTGATTTCAGTGGGCTTGCTCCCGGGGCCATGCCAACTAACGGTTGTGTCTGACGTACCCACCGACCGTTGGCTGTAGGTGTCAGAGGTGACCTGGGAAGAGGAAGACGACCGAGTCAACCAATCGATGACGGCAGGGTTGTCGGTGGAGACACGACCGCTGGATGACACCGGGAGCACTGGCCTCTGGCTGCGACTAGTGCTGCCTCGACCCCTTCCTCTGCTGCCACGTCTGCTCGCGTCCTGAAACATTGCCTCCTCTGCCACTCCTCTGCGTGTTGTCTGACATACTCTTTAATTCAATAAGCACCCCAAAAATAAAAACGGATTTAACTCTTTGAACGTACAATAGTGGTTGTGAAGCAGAAAGTCAGTTTATTGTACACAAATCGGTCAATTGCAGCTTGCCGTTGGCTGTAAACTGTACGTTTATGTCACTGGAATGCACTAATCACCCAAAAAATATTACCGCCACCCTGGCGTGTATATGGATTTAACTCTTTGAACATACAATAGTGGTTGTGAAGCAGAATGTCAGTTTATTTTAGCACAAATCGGTCAATTGCAGCTTGCCATTGGCTGGAAACTGTACGTTTATGTCACTGGAATGTACTAATCACCCAAAAAATATTACCGCCACCCGGCGTGTAAATGGATCTAACTCTTTGAACGTACAATAGTGGTTGTGAAGCAGAAAGTCAGTTTATTGTAGCACAATCGGTCAATTGCAGCTTGCCGTTGGCTGTAAACTGTACGTTTATGTCACTGGAATGCACTAATCACCCAAAAAATATTACCGCCATCCGGCGTGTAAATGGATATCTAACTCTTTGAACGTACAATAGTGGTTGTGAAGCAGAAAGTCAGTTTATTTAGCACAATCGGTCAATTGCAGCTTGCCGTTGGCTGGAAACTGTACGTTTAGTCACTGGAATGCACTAATCACCCAAAAAATATTACCGCCACCCCGACGTGTAAATGGATTTAACTCTTTGAACGTACAATAGTGGTTGTGAAGCAGAAAGTCAGTTTATTTTGCACAATCGGTCAATTGCAGCTTGCCGTTGGCTGGAAACTGTACGTTTGTGTCACTGGAATGCACTAATCACCCAAAAAATATTACCCGCCAGCCGGCGTGTAAATGGATTTAAACTCTTTTAAACGTACAATAGTGGGTTGTGAAGCAGAAAGTCAGTTTATTTTGCACAATCGGCAAACTGCAGCACCAACTGTGCACGACAGCCAGCCACCAAAAAAAAAAAGGGTGTATGTCACTTTAAATTTTCGATTCTTTTGATAGCTGTGGCCCTAAGTAACGATTCTGTGTCCCTGAGTAACGATTCTGTGTCCCTGAGTAACGATTCTGTGTCCCTGATAACGATTCTGTGGCCCTAAAGTCTCTGTGGCCCTAACTCTGTCCCTTAATACACACAGGTCTGTCTCTCTTGAATGACCGGAGGCTAATGGAGAATTCTAAGATGGCCGCGATTTATAGTGCTGGCTGGCTGCTGATTGGCTAATGCGATCACATGTCATGAATGCATTATGGGTCAGCGCGCCTTGTCTGCGCGCCTTCCCAGAGATCCCCCGCCCCATCTTCTCTGTCCATTTTCTCCGTGGCCACACATGTCGCCGCCATTTTTGGGAAAATTCGATTTGTATATCCGAAGTTTGCTAATCTTCGGATTCGTCCGAATAGAATTTTTCCAAATCTTCGGAACGAATTCCACTTCGTCATGTTCGATTCGCTCATCTCTAGTTGCAAGGTAAAAGACTTTCAGGAGGGCAACGGAGCACATAGTAGCAGATAAGGACATTTCTGTTCCTACTTTCTTTTTATTTTACTTAATTGTATCCACTGACGTACAGTACATTTAATATGCTTCCAATTATACCCCAAACACACTGACCAAACAAAGCATACATTTGGACACAGGCACTGAGTATTTGCTCACATTAATAATGGACGAGAATATTAATGTACCATTCTTTAACATTGCCACCTAATCTTACCAGCTGCTATTTC